TTGCTCCAGCTTCGTCTTCAAGGTACCTGCAGCACAGCGCCACATCACAGGTTAGTACCTGGTTCGTAACAGTGAGAGAGAGAGAGTCCTTCTTCCTCTTCTTCTCAGTCCACCATCTCCTTCTCTCCCTCTCAACCCTTGACTTCACTGCATTTGAAGACTGCGAGAGAAGAGATACCGAGCTTGGTGATATCGGATCCAAGACTCGACTTTTTGGGATTCAGACCTGACAACGAGGGGTTATTTGGGATCGGTGACAAAGACTTGGTGTTAACGACACTCCCATCTTCCTCCCTCCTTTCGTCTGATCCTTACCTCTTCGTCTATGCATGTCTGGACCTGGCGCTTTCTTCCTGTGTGCAGCGCCAGGCTCCTTCACACGTGGTGAGGGGTACGATGCATGTTTGGTCTGAGTTCAACCATCGGTTGGACTAGCTATCAACATTCTGGCAGTCCGTTTCGCTACTTGCTACTACGTGTGTAAGGTCAGTCCTTGTCAGGTCAGTCTTTGTATCTAAGTCTTCCCTGCGCTATTCAGCACTTTTGTATGTATGAGAATGCACATTGTCTGTCGAGATTCTACTCTCACCGCATTGTCCATTTCAGTCCTTTTCGTCGCATTGCAGTTCCTCGGTTATTACAAACATCACATATCTGTGCATGTAACACAGACACACACACTCTGTACACTCTGTCTGCACCAACAGTTGGGCGGCTATGGCCGCCGTCGTCTTCCTCCCTCCAGCTATGGCCGCCGTTGTCTTCCTCACTGGCCAGCTATGATCGCTGTCTTGCTCGCTGCCCACTTCCTCTCCGGGCACCTGCAGACCTCCACGCACAAGTCACCAAGGCAGCGCTTCCGCATGGCTCACAGGCGAATGAATGAATGGCTGGACGCTGCCCCTTTATTTATAGTAACTCGCAGGTGGCCTGGCCCGGTCTCAAACCGCGTGGGCCTGGGCCAAAACGTGTGAGTCCCGGGTCTGGAAACTTCCCAAACCACGTGGGCCACAGGCCCAAACCGCGTGGGCCCGGCCTGGAAGTTTCCTGGCCGCAAGAGCCTGGCAGTCCCAACGCGCAGGCCTTCTGGGCCAAAATGCGTGGGCTGCTGGGCCCCGAAATACGTTTTTCTGGAGTCTTCTCCAGAACGCGTGGGCCTCCCTGTTCGCCACGTGCAGCCCCTTCCTTTGGTACTTGCTGACTGGACTGACCTACAGGGACCTATGGACTTCCAGAACCTACAGATCAACAGACAGACTCTAGGCCCACAGTAGACTTAGGTAGAGACTTCTAGAACAGACTCTTTCTAGGCCTACTGGAACAGTCCTAACTACTTACCTACAGACCTAGGGATCGAGTCCTACACAGATCAATGGGTCTATGTGCAGGGTACAGGGTAGGTCTAGGGATCGAATCTCACTCAGCACACAGGGTTAATGTACAAGGTTCGGGCACAGGTCTAGGGATCTAATCTCTGTGTCTGCAAATTTCGGATCAACTGGGTGAAACCGTTTCACCCTCCTCAAAGTAAACATTTCCTTCCATTTTGTTTTTAGTACCTTTTACCTCAGCCTCTCTCTCTCTCTCTCTCTCTCTCTCTCTCTCTCTCTCTCTCTCTCTCTCTCTCTCTCTC